TTATTTATTCAAATTGTATTAATATGTAAAGACCAAATGTAACCTATATCATCGTTAAATCTTATCTTATAAAACCAGTGGAACTTCAAAATCGTTAAAATTCATGGCTCCCGTCGCATTGCGCGGGTACACAACTAGCTATAAAAGATACATCTATCTCCATAATTAAAAAACATTGAGTAAGTTGAAAAAGTTTAAGCAAATCCGCTCATAATAGTTGGAGTATTGAACAAATATTGAGCAAGTGGAATGATGATTTGGAATTCTGGTTTTGATTTATGACGTAATTCGGAATTTTGCCAATTTAGATGGCACGGTCAATTGAGAACTGAAAACTAAAAATATAACGTCTTAAACAAAAAAAAATTAATCGAGCCATAAAGTCATCATTCTTCAGCAACAAAATATTTAACCATCTAATATTTTATGACCAAAATACGAGACAACATATATGAAATATCACATATAAAATGGTCTTGTCCTGCCGACCATTTTTTTAATAAAAAGGTAATAGATTATTAATTGTATATAAATTATTATTAATTACAATAACATAACAAGCCCAGATGGACTTATTAAGTTTTTCTCATCCACCTATTTTTTTAAGATCAGTTGTCAAAAAGTAAGGAAGGTGTGTGAATTTATTTGTTCTATTTATCGTATATAAATATTATATATTTCAATAAAGAAAAACAGATGAAAAACGGGTCTAACAATCCATGCTATGTGTTATTCATTAACCATCTAATCATTATGGCTACAAGTCTACTTTATCTTTATTCACCCGTTTTCGATTGAATCTATTGCCCATATTTTCGAATCCGTACATCTCGTCATTTTATATAAACTTTATGTACTTTTTGATCGATTCGTATAATTCTTAAGAAATTACAAAATATTTATTTAAAAAACAATATAAAAAAATGGATTGATATAAGAAGCATGAAGCATGGTAGGGACAAAATTGTCAGGAAAAGAAAAGCATGAAATCCATATTTGAAAATGAGACAAAGCTGAAGAAGTTTCCAATGTGAAGATCTTCTGTTGCTTCAACACAATTTCTTGGATTTCATGACTCTCCTCCTCTTTTATTTTAATATTATTATTTTACATTTTATATTATATATATATATATATATTATATGTATATATATATATATACACACACACTGCTTTCACTTTTGTGACAATGTGTTTTCTTTGACTAATAATATGATGGTTTGACCGGTCAATAAACTAGACTTATCCCAACACATACCTGAGGCATCATGTCCCCATCCCATAAAACTGACCTTCAAATGAAAAAATAAACATAATAAAAAAATATCTATAATTAATTTATTATTTATCTTATATAATTTTCTCAAAAAATATATAACATAATAATTTTCATAATCTATAAAATAAAAAATCTGTTAGAATTAAATATAATCTTTAAAAAAGATTTTAACTTTTGGTTCACTATTTCAAAAAAAAATACAGATAATTTATCAGAAATGATCTAAACTTTACTGATTTATGATTTGTCTTGTAAAAAGAAAATTTATTTTTTTGAATCTTTTTGTATTTATGTTACGTCAGTTATGATCTTATTTGAACTGTATCCACTGATAGTTATTAACATTATACATTATAAGTTCTTAAATTAATTTTGCGGAAACAATTAAATTTTATTATTTTATAAATATATTAAATAAATGATAAACAAAATAAAAAAAGAAGCGAAAATTGATAGGATCCAAGGAAGATTGAGTGGAATCAATGATTGTTTGTTAATTTGTTTCTGACAGATAATGACAAGTTAGAATATTTGTTGGGAAACCTTGGTTTTCCCCCACCACTTCATCTCCATTTCTTTTTTATTTATTTTCAAATTTAAATGGTTAATATAAAATGGTATCATTTAATCACTTGAGATAACCTCATCATCAAATAATATATGATTAATAAAAAAGCTCACTTAATAACACTATCTTCAATGAAGGTTTTTATTATAAGAATTTTTTTTTTGTATTTTTTTTATCGATGTGTCGTTTCCAACTTACTGTACATAACACTTCACAATGATAGTTCTTATAAAAACTCATTTGGTTAGTCTCGTCCGTTGGATCATCTCAATTTAATTATTTGGATGAGTTCTTCATTTCTTTAATTTTTCGAGGTTATCTCTCAAGCTTATCCCATACATATTAGTAGTTACTAGGAGGGTGATCGCATAATATAGCGAGATCTGTCTCAATTTTAATGTTTCGTTTTATTATTTATCTCTGTCGATATAATACGGTTTTTAGTGGTTTTGAGAAAGTGGTATTGTTTTTATTTTTGAGGAAAATATAAATTTAAAGATATCATAAAAGTTTGAAAAAAAATATTTATATTCATATCAAATTTACTATTTAAAGTTCTCGTTTTTTTGTGTAATTTCTTTAATTTATAATTTAATTTAGATTTGATAATAAAGTAATTTATTTACCGTTTAATAATATAATTTTTATAAAAATAATATTTAAGTATTTTGTTATAACTAATGATTATCTTAATTATATATTGTTTTTATATTCAAAATGAGATGTTCATCTTGTATTTGATCATGTTTATCTATATCTAGTTACACAAATTTAAAAATAAAAGTTTAATAAGTTGTATTTATGCATAATTTACTTGTGATCTTGAATTTTAAGTAATATGCATAAATAAACAGTACCTTATGCATAAAAAATGGTTTTTAAGAGTTTTTGTCAAATGCTTTATAATATAGTATAGATGCAGAATTATAGATGCATAATAATTATTTGATACAAACATTTCCCATCTTTTTTTTTGAAGAATTAAAGAAAAATTAATATAACTAGATGAAATCGTGGAAGCAGACCTTTTATTTCCTCTTTCCATGTAAGAATTCGTCGTCCGAGTCAACTATACTTTTTTTAAAATGACCAAATAAGGAGACGATCGTAACCTCTGAGACATCAAAGATGAAAAGTAGATTCCTTGTTTTTTTTTAAAAGCCAACATTTTATAGTTTTAATTAATTATATAAAGCAAATTGCATGAAAAGTAACGTACTTTAACTTGATTCATATTTTAGGTAACGTACCCTCAAAACTTTCATTTTGGTTCCTAATATGTAAAGTTTTAAAATTTTAAATACCCGGGTAACTGGCTGAAGACTAATTTTAGATTAAAAAA